CGAGGTCACGTGGCTTGTGAAACAGGGCTGGCTGAGGCCTGGGCCCAGGTTCTGCACTCCCAGGGCCCCAGGGAGAGTCCAGGGTGGGGCGGGGCCCAATCTTGGCTCTGCAGCAAGCCGCCAGCTCCTGGGGTCTCTCCTAACACAGTGAAGAAAGCCACCGTGAGCAGTCCAGGGAGCCACTCCCAAAGGAGGAACAGTACCTATTTGGCTCTTCTAGGCCTTGATTCCACTGTAAATGGGAATATTGTCTGCACACAGGGAGGACGCAAAGGTGGTGAGCAGAGTGCAAGTAGCCCAGAGAGCACTTTCCTCATGCAACCACTCATTCTTCTCTAACATTTATCCAGGAGTTGTCACCCGTCAGGCTTTCTGCCAGGTGGTACAAATACAGAAACTAAAGAAACAGTCCTTATTCTTAAAGGGCTTGTTGTATGCACACATTCTCATCAAAAGAAATTTAAAAATATTTGAAGTCTTGCAGTTAGAGAGTAATTCCCAAATGTATGCTCACTCTCAACTCCTACCGGTATACTCTCTGTTCTTGAGTACACGACAGATATCATTTTCAAAAATTAACATTTCTGAAATTAGCATGCATCTTAAAGTTGTGATTGGCAGCAATTTCTTTTCTCTTAGTAATGCCTAAAATAGTGATATATCTTACAGTTGGTAATATTGTGGAGTCAGTGAAATACATTTTTAAATGTTATTATCCTTTCTCAAATAGACTTTGGATGCATTTTAATGCCACTTAATTTAACACAAGTTCTTCCCAGAACTTTTACAGTTCATCCAGATGCCTGGTGTCACATGGATCAAGTGTCATAGATAGTTGGCTGCCTCTCTTTGTGAAATTTTTTTGCCAAGGGGCCAGGGGGGTGCTGTGTCACCTTTTGGCCACCAGAGGGAGCGAGCACACAGAAGAGGGAGCACACTCTTGGCATCGTGCTCCATCCTAAACTTTTCCAGTGTGCCCCTCCCCCCAGGGCAGAGAAACCCCCCATCCCCTCGCTGAACGCCCATCTGCAGGGTCAGAACGGAGAGAAGGGAGAGATGCCCGTCCCAGAGCAATGGCAGTAGAAGCTTGGGTGGTATTTCCATGGTGCTTATAGAACCACACCAGAACGAGCTATGGCTTCATGCACTGCCTGCACCTGGGAGTGAGAACAAGCACTAGTCATGGTCCTGCCTCCTGAAAATGCAGAGCCTGTCTGCAAACACTGTACACTCCTGAGGCCCACAGGGATTTGTAAAGTTCTCCAAGGAAGTGTTCCCACTCTAGTAGTCACCTATAGCCTCAGTTACAACCCCTTTCTTCCTTCTTTCCTTCCTCCATTTTTTGCCCTTCCTTCCTGCTATCTTTCCTTTTCATATTTCTTTATTGAACACCCACGATATGCTGGACACTGTGCTAGGAGCAATGGACACAACAGTAGGCAGAACAGAAGACTCTACTGTACTTATGAATATTGATTCTGGGTGAAAGGTGTACACATAGATACACAAATATACTTTAAGGAGGAATACTGGCTCCTCTGAGAGTGTATAACTGAAGAGTGCTAGGAAAAGGGTGGATTTGATGAGACTTCCATAAGGAGTAGCAATCAAGACAAAGTTTCCAGGTAAAGAGTGAGGGAGAAGCCTTCGAACCCACAGGACCTGTCTCCATCAAGATCCTGAGCTACAAAGTGCTCGGTGCCTTCCAGGTACTCGCAGGGAGCCACCATGTTGCCCAGAGCCCAGGTACAAGAGAAGCTCAGGATGCGCTAAGCCTTGGGAGCACGTCGGTGCAGAGCCTTGTGCACCATATGAAAGGTGTGTTTTTTCATCTTAAAGCCATTGGTTTAATTTTTTTTTTTTTTGTACCAGGGATCAAACTCAGGACCTTGTGCATGCCAGGCAGGTGCTTATGCCACTGAGCTATCTCCCCAGCCCCTAAGCCATTCAACCTTCTTGAGTAGATTTGGGTATTCATACACTAACCACACTGTGGAGTATGGCTTGGAGAATAAATCTGAGGGAGAGTGAAGGTGTACAGGTGGGAATTGTTGGGGGAAAGTATGAGGTGAAGGTAGCTGCCTGCTGACGGTGAGCATGAGGGTGTATTTTGGAGACAGAATTACTAGCTTTGGAGAGTGGAAGGAGAGGAAGTACTACATCTGACTTTCACGTTTTCTGAAGGAACAGCTTGGAGGAGGGGTTCCTGGGTGGGCTTCTCTGGGGGAGGCAAGATAGGGAAAACACTCTGAGTTTTCAGCATCTTAACCTCAAGTTCTTCTGGAAGGGCAAGGCAGGCAAAAGACTCTATTAACCCAGTGCCAGAAACGGGGCTGGAACTGTTGGATTGGAGTCATAGGCGTGCAGGTGGCACATAAAACCACAGAGGTGGCTAGCACCACCTGGCTAGGAGGCTGGGTGAAGAAGAAGATGGTCCAGAGCAGAGCTCTCCAGGAGGCCTGTGAGGGCAGGGGGCAGAGTCCGCCAAGGGGGAGTAAGAAGCAGCCACATAAAGGATCGGCTGTAAAGAAAACCTGCCTGAAGAAAGGACGACCAACTCTTAGAACGCCACTTAGCAGTCTCCCGAGATGAGGACAGGGCCATGTCTGGATTTGCCAACATTCAGGCCTCAGAGATTTCAGCTAAGGCTGTGGTAACGGAAACCAGAATGGGGTGAGCTAATCAGAGAAAAAAAGTGCCAAGTTCTGGCTTGCGGGGACGATTATGCAGCGAAAGCAGCCGCCCTTCTTATGAAACTCTAGCTGTGCTTGGCCGCTTGAGGAAGCATGGGGAAGTTGGGCGCTGGGTCTGTCCTGGCTGCGATTTTACCACACAAGCACAAGAAAGGGGGACAGGAGCAAGCAAGGTGAAAGAAGTGAAGTTAAATCTCACCTGGCCAAAGGGGGAGGACGACAAGCAGCAGGAGAGCTAATGGGTCAGGGGTCTCCAAAGAGTGAAAGGGCTGGATCAGAGAGGGCGCTTGAGCAGAGGAAGCGAAATTACAGGAGAGAGCAGCCAGGGCAGAGATTTAACTTTTGAGAATTTATTACTGAGTGTGACATTAAATCTAAGCTGTGACTTTGGAAATTGGGGGGTGGAAAGAAGAGGTAGAAAGAGTCAGTGGAGATGAGAGGATGAGGTTCTGAGAAGGCAAAGCAGGTGACGGGTCATCTGCCGAAGCTGCTCCAAATTATCCGAGTCGGGGTCAGGAGGATGGGCAGAATGCCGAAGCTGCTCCAAATTATCCAAGTTGGGGTCAGGAGGATGGGCAGAGCACCTAAAGCCATATCTGGGGGGATGGGGACCTAATAGCAGTAACAGCAGTGAGCAGTTAGAGAGCAGGGAATGTCCAGTGTAGGTCTCAGAGAACGGGGCTTCTGCACAAGTGAGGTGAGTGGGTGGTCTAGAAGTGAAAGTGGAGAGCAGCAGGCTCCTTTACTAGGTGGAGGGAAAATAGCCCAAGGAACTGGGCCAGTGCAGGAATGGAAGGGGTCTCCAACCCTTCTGGAAGAGACCTCTACCATCTCCAACAGAGTCTATGATGGTTAAGTGTAAGGAATTTGCACACCAAATTAGGAATCAATCCCTGTCCTAAGAAAAACTTTGTATAACTCAAGGCAGGCAGTGTAGAGCAGTGGGGAAAACATTGTCTCATAATAAAAAACACCCAGTTTTTTATACCACCTCTGAGAAGCACAATCAAGTAAGTAAAGACATAGCTGAGCTGGAGGGGACCAAAGACACATGGCTGACGTAACTAAATGGAAGGGAGGAAAGCACAGCACTACAAGAGGAGTAACAGAGCAAAAGGAGAAAAAGTGGAGACCTTGAACAAAGACAGGAAAGAGTAAACTGCATCCTAAATCCTGGCCCTAGTGTAAAGGACTAAGACCCCTTTTGAAGGGGAAAACACCTCCAGTCTGGCTACACACAGCTTCTGGTGGAACATACCAGAGCCTTGTAGTGTCCCTGAAATAGTATAGGAAGGAAGGGACTAGAAAGGGCACAGAAGAGGGAGGAGAGCTAAGGGACATTGGTGGTCAGCTGCAAACAAAATCGTCTTCATGGCAACTTGGAAGCGGAGCTTCTTTTAGCCTCTCAATCGTGCTGGAACAATGTGTTATGTATCAAGGGGGAAATATACCCACAATAAGATGGCACAGTGGGTGAGGTAGACACAGTCTTTCTTCAGTGGTCAGGAAAAAATGATATTTCTAAGTAGTCAGGAAGCTCTTTTTTTTCCATAATTTTATTGAGAAACAAATAGCAATGAGACAGTTTCAAATCAAATTGGTAGGACAGTTTCAATAATTAACACATTGCATACTCTCTTCCTAGTGGTTATTTGCTGTACAAGATGCAGACATGTTATCCTATTTACAAACACTATTAGAACAAATCCCTCTATTCATTAAGAGAATGTAATTATATATCTATCCTAACCATTTTGAGTACACAGATACAAAATGGACATTCATCTGTATCCTCTTTTTTGTTTAGTTCCATCATTTGAATATTATAGGTTGGCCCTAGCCTTGCAAGGTCAATTAAGACTCAGGACATATGAGAACTTGTACTGTAATGTCATGTAACTCAGTAGTGTCCCAAATTTTCTGAGGAGATTAAGGAGCCAAAGAGGAAAGTGATCGATGATGTAGAGTGTGCCTAAGGAGAGTCACATGGAGAGAAAACATTCTCTCAGGCTTTCCCAGAGAGCACACTGGCCAAGCAATGGCTGTGACTCATCCTCAGGAAGCTCTTTACAGCAAGAAGGACCTCCTTCTGGGCCTGGACATATGAGGGTATTTGGAAAAGTCAAGCTCAGACAGGAGAGGAATAGCTCCAGGCCCCTCTGGCAGCACAACGACAACAACAGGAAATCCCACAAGGGTCACTGCTGGCCTCTCAGCCCAGAGGCCTCCTGAGGTGTCTCTCCAGCCTGTGCCAAGTCCCACTGGTCCTGCTCTCATTCACCTGTGCTTTCTCTCTCCCTCCACCAGTTGCATGACAGATGAGCACTTGCTCCCTGAAAGAGATGTCTGACAGCCACAGCAGTCCTCTCCTGCCACAGACCCTTCCAAGCAGATACGCCCTCTACGAGGCAGAGCCCAGCAGCCCTACCTGGCCCTCAGGCTCCCAGGATACACACCCAGCCCTGCCCTTGCTGGAAATGCCTGAAGAAAAGGTGAGCAGTCTGCTCTGGGATGTTGTCCAGGTGGGAAGACGGGGTGGGGGAGCGAGGAGGATGCTTCTCCAACTCGCCAATGGACTCCATGTAGGCAGGAAAGCACCACTTTCCTTGGAGGTTCTGCCCTAATCAATACATGGTCACAGCTGTGATTTGCCCTACCCAGCCTTAAATAAAAAAATCTGGTTCTGAATGAGTTATGATTTTTAGGACAACCAGAGAATACACACACTGTCATATCAGTCTTCCAATTTCCAATCTCTCTGCCCTTGAACTTGCTCTTGTGAGTTACTCCATGGTGTCAGGAAGGAAAGCCTCTGCTGGAATGCAAGCCACTGGACGGCCTCACCTAGGAGAACAGAGGTGGGCTGACGGCTACTGATTATGCAAAGAGGGACAAATGACTGTTAAGGATGCTTCAAAATGAAATGTTATTCACATAGCCTAAAATTGCTCATTTTAAGGTATATATTCAATGGTTTAACATATATGTATGAAGTTGCTTAACATCACCACAATCTACTTCCAGGATGTGCACATCACCCCAGAAGAAACCTCACATCCCTCAGTGGTCACTCCCCATCCCCCACTCTCACCTCAGCCCCTGACAACCACCACACCACACTGTTTCCTGTTTATGCACACTTCCTTGTTCTAGATGTATCCTATAAATGGAGTCAGATGATAATCCATGACCATTTGTGCCTGGCTCCTTTCATTCAGCATGGCGTCTTCAGGTTCATCTGTGTTAGGATGTGAATCAGTATTTTATTCTTTTTTCAAACAAATAACATTTCACTGTGTGGACATACCATGGTTTCTTTATCCATTCATCAGTTGGTGGAGATTTAGATGGATTCCACTTTTTGGCTTGTATAAGTAACAGTACTATGAACATTCATGTACAGGTCCAATATGGGCATGTGTTCTTATTACCTTGGGTATAAACTTAAGAATGGAATGTGTGGATCCTTTGAAAACTCCATGCTTAGCATTTTAAGGACCTATTAAATGTTTCCCCAAATCAGCTATGGCAGTTTGTCTTCTCACCAATAATACATAAGGTTCTAGTTCCCCACATCTTTAGCAAAATTTAGTGTCGTTATTTTTATTATAGTCTAAAAAGACATGAACATGTAATTTTGACTAACATTTCCCTAATGATAAATGAGGCTGAACAACTTTTCAAGTGTTTAATGACCACTTATACCTTTTCTTTGAGGAAATGTCCTTTCGATTCCTTTGCCCATTTTTAAAGTTGAGGTATTCGTCATTTTGCTATTTAGTTGTGATAGTACTGTATATATTCTGTATACTAGACCCTTACCAAATATATCATCAGCAAATATTTCTTCTAAAAAAACAAATAATTTCTTCTGCTACATAAGTTGCATTGTCACATCCTTGGCAGTATTCTTTGAAAGTGAAATTTTAAAAACTCATTAAATCTGGTTCATCTACTCTTTCTTTGATTGTTTATCTTATGATGCTATATCTTTCACCATCTTCTTAAACAAGGTCATAAAGTTCATGCCCATAGTTTAATAGTTTTAGCACTTACAGTTAGAACTTTATTTGTTTCAAGTTAATGTTTGTATATGATATAAGGCATAGGTGCACCTTCATCTCTGCATGTAGAAATCCAGTTGTCCCAAGCCCATTTGTTGAAAAGACTATTCTTTCTCCATTACATTGTCTTCACACCTTTATCAAAAATTAACTGACTATAGATGTCTGGGGTTATTTCTTGACTATCTATTTAGTGTCCTGATTTATATCTTTATTTTTATAATAGTACCACACCAGCATGATTACTCTTACTAGCTATCTAAGTATTAAAATCAAGAAGCATGAATCTTCCCATTTTATTTTTTCAAAAAATATTTTATTTTTGGACTTACATTTTCATATGAATTTTAGGACCATACTTTCTATTTCTGAGGG